ATTATAATTCACAAGCACACTCAATTATATTTGAAACATGAATCACGGTCTAACCTAGATCTGATTCTCAAATGCAAATTCCTAACTACTATACTGCCCTGTCTGTGTGCTTTCTTCATCTCTTCTTTTCCAGTAACTTTTTTTTCCTAATTAGGAAAGTAATGCATTTTGGAAAATTTAGAAAACTATAAAGAAGAAAACAAAATTCATCCACTTAAATTTTTGGTGATAAATCCTCCAGTCTTTTTTTCTGTAAAAGCACACACCTCTGAGATGACAGGTGGGAGCTAATACCCATGCTCCTAGACTAGACATGTTCCTTAAGGGACTGATCATTCTGAGGAAGAAGCCTTGGTCCTCATTACCCACACAAGGGCCGTATATCCTCACTTCATGGGCAGCACTAACCATCTGGGCTCACCTATCAGGAGAGGCTCACCTATGAAGGAGACTTGATAGACAACACTCATGACTGTCTATCTATTTCCACCTTGTTGAAGTAGCCAGTAGCCATGCCCCTGGGACCATGATCCTTTCCGATCTCAGGGGCAAGCCTAAAAAGTTTCACTGTAAACCCATTCTCCTTGCCAGTGATTCGTTTATGGGTGGCCAGGGAGTCTTGGCAGAAGGCTGTGGGGGCTTCTGGGAAAATTCTTTGTTCCTAAGAGACACTGATCACTCATCTGTCAGTTTTGTTGTACTGTGGTGGCTTGTGTGTTGCTTTGATGCTGGAAGCTATGCCAGTGGTACTTCAAATACCAGCAGGGTCACCCAGGGTGGACAGGTTTCAGCAGAGACAGGCTAGGAAGAAAGGCTGGCAATCTACTTCTGAAAATTAGCCAGTGAAAACCCTACAGATCACAACAGAATATTGTTCGAAACAGTGCTGGAAGATGAGCTCCCTAGGTTGGAAGGCACTCAAAATACACAGTGGTTGCAATAACAGACTCAAGCATACCAGCGATGGTGAAGATGGCTCAGGACCAGGCAACATTTCGGTTCTGTTGTGCATGGAGTCACTGTGAGTCAGAGCCAACTCGATGGCAACGAACATCAAAAGAGACACACAGGACAAGACAGCCTTTTCTTATCCTGTGGATTGATGCCTAGAATTGAAGAGCTAGTTTGGAAACTTGAGAAGAGCGAGCAAGAGAACAAAGCCCAAAGCACCCTAACTGATCCAGATGTGACCTACAGGGGACCTCTAGCAAGACACTGGAAACCAAAACCCAAACCAAACCCACTGTTGTCTAGTCGATTCTGACTATAGGACAGGGTAGAACTACCCCATAGGGTTTTCAAGGCTGTAAATCTTTACAGAAGCAGACATATTTCTCCCAAGGAGCGGCTGGTGGGTTCGAACCACCAACCTTTCAGTTAGCAGCCGAGCACTTTAACTACTGTGCCACCATGCCACTAGAAACCACTGGAGACAAAACAGACTGTTATAAGAAAGGAGCAATTTTCAGAACAATGTATATAATATGATCCCATTTGGATAGCCAGATAGATATAAATTAGAGAAGGATCTAAAGTAGACTCTGGGAGGATACACACCAAAACGTTGGCAATGGTTATCTCTGGCAGCAGCGTGAATCAGGGCTTCAACTTTGTTCTATGTGTATTTGTATTGTTTGAAGTATTTGTAATAAGCATATATACACATATTGCTTGTGTAATTTTTAAAATACTTTAATTTTAAAAACAGCACGTGGCTTCTCCTTTATTTGAACCTTGTACTAGAAACTCAGAACATTCTTCTAGAAAAAAAAAAAAATGTTTTTGTGGTCAAAAAATTCTTCAAGTTATTTTCAGTTTCTAGGGTGATCCTCTCCGTCTCGTGGCTCAGTCACAAGCCATATCAACCTGGCAGCTCAGCTCTCCTACTGCTTGTCAGCCGACCTTCCCCTCCTGAAAGGAGATTCATAGAGGGATCACAAGTCTGATCTAGTTTGCCAGGGTTCAAAGTCTAGACTGCGAAGTAGAGCAAGTCGATCAACCTGTTGTGTGAAATCAGGTCCACAGGCATTCTGCTGACATTATCAGAGTTCTGGCTGGCCTTGTGGCGTATCCAGAGATGAGTAAGGCATACAGTCTGCCCAAGGCAGCAGAACGCTGTGCACGGTATGTCTCAAAATGCAGCTCCACATCAGAATCTTGCGTGAACTTGTTAAAATGCAGATTCCTGAGCCCTACCCTAGACCTACTGCCTCACAATCTCCCAATGTGGGGCCCCAAGAACCTGAATTTATTTTATTACATGCAGATAAAGTTTGAGAACTACTTCCCAGCAGGGGAACTGGACTCATCAAAATAGTCCCACAGGGCAGAGATGGGCCAGGTGCATACTGTTTCTTATTCTGGTGGCCAGGATGCTCAGAGACAAATTGGTGGCCCAACTGTGTGGTTTCATCACTGTGCGGACTATGAGAAGCCCTATTCCTGGCTCCCCGAAATGTCCTCACAAGGATCCCATCTTCCTCCACTCCTCTTGTCAACTTCAATGTCCCCTTGTGAGCTACCAAAAGCCTTTCTGGGACGTGGCAGGATAAAATAAATAAATACAGCCACTTATTGAGCATTTAGCCCGGATGTTACGCTAAGTGCGTTATTACATTGTTTCTCAATTAATCCTGACAACAAATTTAATCCAATTTTACAGTTTTGGAAAACCAAGGCTTAGAGAAATTAAGCACCTTGCAGAGCAAGTGTTGGAACTCAGGTCTCTGTAACTCCAGAGCTCACCTTTTAAAATCTACTCCTTGTCCTTGAGGTAAGTGAACAACGGAGGCTCCACATTTTTTCATATAGGATAGGCCCTGGGCTGCAATCTGAGTGGAAAAGGACTAGGGGGCTTGCGTTGAAGCTTCTTTTGCATAACTAGCGCACTATTTTTACTTAGCTTTTATGTTACAAATTAAATTTTTTTTAACTTTGAAGATGATTTTATTAACACGTTAATTTTAAAAAATATTTTATGCATTTTTTTACAGGGCACAGAAGGGCTTATCTATAGTGATGTAGCCACTATAAATTAATTAATACATCTATTTCATACGAATTTCACAGTTAAGCTTTCTATACAATGACCTTTGATGACTGGTTGAGGAAAATGAATACATGTTTACAGAAAGACTCCCCCACCCCAAGTTGGTTCATATTTATGTAACAAAAAATCCAACTGTGGAAAGGCTCCTTCTTCAGGTCTAGCTTCTCTCCCCAGGATGCCCAGTGCTAAAAGCCTAAACACAGATACAAACGGTGTCATATGACCGAAATACAACACAACCTGCTTTGTTCACTTAAGATATCTAGGATATAGGGCGTTTGTTCTGTTTTGTTTTTTATGTGAGAACTTCAGTATCGCTTGAAGCCTGGGACGCAAAGTTTTGGGAGGCCAGGAGGACAGAAGTGGAAGCGGGCACTCTGAGCTGGATGTAACGTCCCCTCCCCAAGCCAGAGCACAGGTCGGATAACTGGTAGGACTGCGGAGCGGGCCCTCCCAACCGAAAGAAACGGAGGGAGAGAGGAAGTATGCGGTTGGGAAGCTCCGCCACTCTCGCCCGGGTTTCCCGTTTTCCCCACTCCGAGACTGCAAGGAAAGTTAGCGCTGAAACCTGCGTGCTCCTGAAACCCCGCCCGGCCCCAGCCCCCGCCCCAGGAACTTCCCCCGAGGCACGGGCCAAAAGCTGGGGGCCGGGATGGAGAAGTCGGGTCGCGTGGGTGCGCTTCTCAACCGGGCCTCTGCGCGGCGACTGCCTTGCAGCAGCGCCCTCTATTGGCGGCTCTGGGTATGGCTCGCATCTGTCTGCGTATCAAAACCAAACCAAACCCACTGCCATTGAGTCGATTCAGACTCATAGCGACCCTATAGGTCTGGGTAGAACTGCTCCATAGGGTTTCCAAGGCTCTAAATCTTTAGGGAAGCAGACTGACATCTTTCTCCCGCAGTACTGCTCCAGGGGTTCAAACTGGCCACCTTTCGGTTAGCAGCCAAGCCCTTGGTTATATATGTTCACTTGCAGACGGGATGGGGGTAGGGGTAGGTGGCCTAACACCTGTGTACACGTTTGCACAACTCTTAGGAATTTTAAATTCCACTAGGAGAGATGTATCTTTATTCTGCTCATTCTGTGCATCTCTGTAGTGCTCCTAGGGCCATAGATTTGTGTGCAAAATGAGTGTGAGGGTCCAGGCTGGGTGCCCAAGAGGGTGTGCCTTGAATGTGGCACACGTTATCTGTATGCCTGTCTGTGCATATTTAACCTCCTGCTCTCATCTGTATATGAGAGAGTACCTATGAGTTCTGGCTGTGTCTTTGCACACATTCGAGTCTTACTGTACACACATTTTTATCATGTCTGTAGGAAAATGTGTGTGTGTGTGTGTGGTACATGGAGCCAGAATGGGTGGTAATAGTATGTTTCTGAAATCCAGACGCAAAAGGAATAATGTGGGGGAGGAGGGCCCCTCAGATATATTAAACCTTTTGCCCTTCCATTCACGAGAAGCTAGATTTTGTTGTTGGAGCTTCTCCACATGGTTTCTCCATCCTGCGATGAACTTGGCCTCCTGCTTAGCCTCCCATTGGCCTTCCTTCTTCCTCAGTCTGAGGCTGCCTGCTGCTGTCCCTACACACCTTGGCCATGATGTAAACTGAAGAAATCAACAACCCCATTGCCTTCCTTTTTCCCCACCCAAAAGTCATTTCCTCTTAGTTCATTACCTGGGATTTCAATGTCTATGTTCCCTCAGCATTATTGATACTTACAGAAGAAGAAGAAGAAGAAGAAAAAGGAACTGCTTGAAATTCCCCCAGAAGGTTTTGAGAGTTTTTTTTTTTTCAGTGTTGCAGTGTTGCAACTTGGAACAAGTCAGTTTCTAGTTTGGGTTTCCATTGTAAAGCTGGGTAGGAGTAGGGTATATAATAAGCTCAGCAGCAGCAGCAGCAGCACCAGAAACACAGCTTCAGGCCCAGCAGATCCTGCAGCCTTCCCAGAAGCAAGGTAAGCACCTCTCTAGCCCCTTACACCCATTCCCATGAGCCTGTGGCTATCCAGGGGTGCTACCCACTGTGCCTGGCAGATGAGGTGGGTGGGCTCTGGAAGCATGCCTAGTAACTTGCCTGCTGGGACACTAGTGAAAAGTCAGTACTCTGGGGACTGATTTTAAAAAAAAGTGTTAATGTAAAAAGTGAACTAATAATGATTGTATACATGGACTGTGAACAAATACACATTTTATAAAAAGTTTGTTTTGGCATGTTCTGTCTTATTTTGAAGCTGTACACATATAAAAGTATGTTCCTAAATACTAATAGCCATTAATTAAAGGACTGTGTAGCGTTAAAGTGAGTGGGGCTTACCTGAGCATTATAAACCTTTAAAAAGTCTGTCATGCACTCCTTAAAATAATTGAATTTGTAATTATACCTTGTAACTGAATCTTACAGAGCATTCTTTATCCTATATTTGTGATGAGTTTAATAGTCAGCTGTGATATCAACCAGATTGCCAGATTATCCCTTTTTTTTTTTTTTTTGTTTTGGATTCACTAACTTTGGCCTCATTTTAAAAATGAAAAGCAATTGTACTGTTTCATACTAATCCCTGAGGAGTTTTAAAATCTGAGAGAAAAGGAAAATCTTTACTGAACTGATGTCTTATCCCTGCCCAGGTAAACTATGTATAACAACGTGATCGGGGTAAGATATAATTTTAACAAAGAGATTACCCAGTTGATGACCCACTTTTTTCAAGTAAGGAATTTCAAGATACTGGAGAGAATTTTAGTGGCTCTTAGAGTAAATTTTACTGGGATCTGGTCTTTTATTATTTCTATACATGAATTCATTCCACTAGTAATGAAATCCCTCTAGAGTTTCTAGCCTAGACTCTGAGGATTGATTGGCAAGCAAAGCAGACATGATCCTTGCTGTCAGAGAGCTCAGTCTGGTGGGAAGGAAAAACATCAAACAAGTAACTATACTATTTCAATGTAGTAAGTGCTGTGAAAGGAAGAATGGGCTCTGTGAGAGCAAATAGTCAAGGTCCTGACTTCATCTGGGAATAATCTCATTAGCTCCTCACCATAACAGGATACCCATTTTACAGATTAAGATTGTGAGGCTTAGAGTGACTTGCGCAGGGTCACACAACCATTAAACGGCAGAGCTGGGATGCCAACACAGGTCTCCTTGGCTCTAGAACTTTCCATGTGCCAGTCATATCATCTGTGACTCTGTCTTTTTATTTTTCAATAATAATTACAAAGACAACACTTGCTCAGTATAAAAACTAACAAAATAAACTTGGAAAAGAGATGTCCTCCCAAGTATCATTGGCATGCCCGTGTTGGTACCAACATTAGGGAGCCTTAACACACCATGGGAGATAGGAATGACTAACCACAGTACCCTGCATCCCTCATTCAAGGGTTTTAAGAATTTAGAAAACCTCTGAAATTTCATGAAAAAAAAATTTTTTTTAACACTCAAGACTCTCGAAACTTACCATGTCAAGGAAATGTGGGCTGAGGGATACAGCTTCCTGGTATCAGCTGATTGTCCTCATTTTTTGTTTCTCTTGGGTTTGATTAAGAGGTGACCCACTACCATTTTTACCCTTGCCTGTGTTCTGTGTTTTAAAATGTAGGTGATATTACTACAATGTGAGTAGCTTCTTATGACCAGCACCAGGCTCTCTTTACCTTAACAAGCAGTCACCTGAGATCATTAAATGCACCTGAGGCCCAGAGAGGCCTTGCTGGGCGCAGAGCCAAAGGGAAATCCCCAGCATTAAGAGAACGTAAAGTAATTGCCAGGAATCTCTGTTGTCTCCCGTCTCTGTTCCCAGAGTGCAGACATCCATGGGCATTTCCCTATAGCCAGGCACTAACTTTGTTTTCGGCTATCCATTATATTCAAAAGAGAGATATCAAAATTTTCCTTTATCACTTCCTGATTAGTTTGTACAAACTAACATGATATTGATTGCCTTCTATAATACCCTCATGCCATTGCATGCTTCCAGCAACCCTTTAAGATGGGTATTATGCCCATTTTACAGATGAGGAAACTAAGGCTCAGAGAGTAGCATGCCTAACACCACACAGTTATTGACTGGTGGAATCAGAATTCAAGCCCGTGTCTTCTTCACCCCAAGCCTATGAATTTACCAACTGTTGCTCTGCGCCAGCTAGTACTTTGCTACAGTCCTAACTTGGACTAATTGTCCCTGAAAGCTCCATGCACTGGGCTATGTACGGGAAGGCCTGATTTCTAGTCCTGTCTCTGTCTCTCATGAGCTTTAAAATATAAGGGATTAATGTATATATGAGGGTCCCCCTAGGGTTAACAGAAGTTTCAACACAGCCCTTATCTATCAATGCCTGGTCACTCCAACCAAGGGATGTGTATTTTTAAGGTATTTGGCTGAAGCTTTTAAGTATTATTCTTCGTATGATTTAAACCAGAGGAAACCATGTTCCTACAGAACATTGCACTCTTCAATATAGATGGAGGTGTTTCCAACTAAAATTAAATAATAATCATCTCTACCTAATTTGCAGGTGGGGAAAATGTTAATGAGTATAATTTTCACAATATAAAGATCTCCATAAACCCTGGTGACTTAATTTAGACTGGACTTTAATATACGATGGTAGATGATACAATTATGCCTTTCATTATTTCAGGATTATGCATCATTATTTTGTGGTCTTCTCTCAAAGAATTCCTTGATTTTCAGGGTCTCTAGGATCCCTGGTGGCACAGTGGTTAAGCACTCAGCTGCTAACCAAAAGGCCAGCAGTTCAAATCCACCAGCTGCTCCTTGGAAACCCTATGGGGCAGTTCTACTCTGTCCTATAGGGTCACTATGAGTCAGAATGGACTCAATGGCAGTGGGTTTGGTTTGGTTTTCTGGACCCTGAAGATGTTTGAGAACCATTGAGTTAAGCCAGAGGTTTTCAAAGTGTGATTCCTGGACCAGCAACGTAGGCCTCACCTGGGAAGTCTTCAGAAATGCAGATTCTTAGGGTCCATCCCCAGACCTAATGAATAAGAAACTCTGGGCCTGGGACTCAGCAATCTGTGTTTTTAAAAAACTTCCAAGTTGCCAAGTTATTATGATGCGCACTCAAGTTTGAGAACTACTGGGTTCGATTATGTGAAGGGAGTAGATTTTTGAGTTTGGAACAATTGTACTCTAAACAAGGAGAGAAACTAAACCTCCACAACAAAGCCAGATGACTGGGTTGTGGCCGGAACTTAAAAGTTTGCATCCTAGCCCAGTGCCCTTTACATAGCAAGTATTAAATAAGTAACTGCTTAACGCTGAACCAGACAAGTCATGTTCCTTCCCTGAGCCTTAGGTTTTTCACCCTAAAAATAAGAGGATTGCATCAGACAGCGGTTCCTCTAGCTCCAGATAGTCTATGACTATCTGGAGATGTTCTTACCCAAAGACTGGTATGTGGGGCTGTTGTAACACATTTAGTATTAACCTGATCGCAGACAAGAAAGAGGAAAATAAAGATTAAATGCAATGTGCATAGAATGTATATACGGTTCCCAGAGGTAACTGGATAATTATTAACATTGTCTCTCGTCTTTGCCTTCCTCATCTTCTCCTCTTCCTCCTCCTTCCTCTTTTTTCTTCCCTCCTGCTGCTTCTCCTCCTATTTCTCTCCTACAGATGCGTCATCAGCAGTTGGTCATCTCTTGGTTTGCCCTGGTTTTTCTGGCATCTCCCCTCCTGGCCATATGGGAACTGGAGAAAGACGGTAACCAGCTTCTCTCTATTCCCTGTGAAGTCCCGGGATTCTAATTCAGGACTCTCAGGCAGCCTTTGCTGGGACATCAAACCGAATGGGCAACCACTCACGCACTGGGGTCTTCCTAGTGAGAGCCAGTGCTCTGGGAAAATGGGAGGCCGTATTTCCTGCTTTCACCTCTTGAGGGTGTCTATATTGTTTCGTTTTCATGTTGGATGCCAAAGGAGGTTTTTGTGGACTGTGGTGGGAAAAGAGATATGGATTTTGCCAGTATTGGCTAAAAACCAGTTGTGCCGTACGATAAAATTCCAAAGTAGAGGATTTAAACAGAATAACTATGTGCTGTCATCTCCCACTCCACCACCCAGTGCTACCCACTTAGTTGACACTGTGATGCCTTACCTCTGACCAAGCACTTTGGATAAAAGCATAGGATTTAGACTCACAGTGTCTTGGGTTCAAGTCCTGATTCTGCTAGTTACTGGCTGTGTGACCTTGAGCTGGGTCACCTCTGAGCCTGAGTTTCCACACCTGTAAAGTGGGGATTACAAAGTGACACCTACCACATAGGTTACTAGATGTGTTAGTAAATGCAGAAGACAACTCAATAGATGGTGAAGTGAAAGGAAATGTTAGCTAATATTACTGTTTGATTGCTAGAAAAAAATATGTCTCTGATGACTTAAGAGAAACTTTCTTTCCCAGCAATCAACAAAAATTATTAACAGAATAATAGCATAGGTGTTAATAGAATAAGAGGTTCCCTCTATCCTTCTAGTATCTCACGCTCAGTAAATATGCATTAACTGATTATTGTTGTTCCTAAAAGACCTCAGATGTTCCTCACTGAAGCAAGCATATTAATGCTGATAATTACTACCTTTAATTGTGTAAAAATAACAATATCAACAATAATAATAATGGTTACTACTTATTGAGGACAGCATTTCATTTAATTCTCACAACATCCATATGAAGTAGAGACTACCCACATCCCATTTTACAGATGTTGAAAAGTGAGGCTAAAAGATTAAGTAACTAAGGACCCCTGGTGGTGCAATGGTTAAATGCTTGGATGCTAACCAAGAGATTGAACCCACCTAGTGGCTCCGTAGGAGAAAGACCTGGCAATCTGCATCCGTAAAGTTTACAGCCTAGAAAACTCTATGGGGCAGTTCTACTCTGTCACATGGGGTCGCTACCAATTGGAATTGACTCGATGGCAAGAAGAAAAAAAAAGTCATTCAAATAAAAGATTAAGTAACTTACGTGAACTCACATCGCTGGTAAGGGTAGAACAGGGACATGATCCCAATTCTGTCTCACTTCAAAGCCTATACACTTAAGTCTTTGAAAAAGTTTTACAAGAAAGACGTGAAGCAATTGTTTCCTACATCTTTGGAGAGTTGAGCAAGAGAAAATAGTTAAAAATTAACCTGAAGAGATTTCAGCTGATGATCAGAAATGATGTTTGGATAGTCAGGAGACTGCAACACTGAACTAGATGCCTAGAAGAAATGTTGGACCATTTCTCCATTCTTAAGAGTGTCAAGAAGACAACAATCCAGCCACCCACCCAGGAGGGTTGGAGAGTTTTAGACTCTTCCTTGAGCAAAAGCAAAGGCATGAGCCAGATGATTATACCAGATCTCTTCCAACCTGGGACTTTTCTGAGCTCAAAAACCTTGTCCCTTGCATATTTAACCCCTTAGTTACTTCTGATTTGGTAAACCACAAAAATTCCAGAACATCAATGTGAGAAACACTAAGAGGGCTTGTGACTTTGGAGACAAGATGATGAAGAAGCCAAACCCTAGGTTATAGATGATCCTCATCAGGTTCCCTCTTGCCATTGTTTTCCCTGCCCTGGACAAGGGTCTTCTAAGCATTCTGAGTCTTAAGTATTAACAGGGAAATAGCCATGCTATTCATTCATCAGCGGGACAAAAAAGAACTAGAGAAAACCAAAGATGCTATATGGCTTCATGTCAACACAGCTACTCATTTCCGAAGAGTTAGGCACTAAATGTTTTTTATCTCTTATCTTTGTTACCCATTTAAAAAAAAAAAAAAACACACACACAACTCACTCCTGTCGAGTCGATTACAACTTATAGCGACCCTATAGGACAGAGTAGAACTGCCCCATAGGGTTTCCAAGGAGTGCCTGGTGGAGTCAAACTGCTAACCTTTTGGTTAGCAGCTGAACTCTTAACCACCAGGCCACCAGGGTTTCCTGTTCCCATTAAGCAGTTGTAAAACCCATCTGATGCAAGGTGAGAGCTTTATATTCCACAGTGCTTTATACTTGGATGCCAATAACAAGAGCCACAATTTATATTGCATTTAAGGGCACTGCATTAAGCTATTACATGAATTAGCTTATATAATCCTCATCTTGACCTTCCAGAGCAAATACTAATATTTTCCCATTTTAAAGATGATATTGAAGCTGAAAGTAGTTGAGTTTCTTACCCAAGACCACAGTGCTAGAGCTAAATCTAAACTCAAACTTATCTAAACCCAAAGTCCAGGCTGTTAACCACCATGGCATTCAAGCTTGAGCAGAAATCACAATCATTTGGAGAAATTGTTAAAATACATATCCTGCAGTTCCATCCCCAGAGTTTCTGATTCAGTAAATCTGGATTGGGACTCAAGAATTTGCATTTCTAACGGATTCCCAGGAGATGCTGCAGATGATGATCATGCTTTGAGAACCATTGCACTAAAATATTCTATTCATTTAATAATCAATGCGTGAATAGATGAATGAATAAGTGAATGCATCTTTGATGTGACAAACTCTTTGGAATACTATCCTAAGTCAGCCCTTGAGTGCCAGTTTAGATGTCAAGATACTGTAGTCCAATGCAAAGCCTAGAAGTCAGAAGGGTTGAGATGTAGCTCTTGTGCTTCTAACTTGATGTGACCTTGCTTAACCCCTATATCCTCCTCTATAAAATAGGAAGACTAAGGTCTGCTGAACTGCCTGCTAGGATTGTAAAATAGCTAAATAATACAGAGAGAATGAATATCTCCACTGATAAGTCTCCTGCAGAGGAAAGTAAATCCTTAAATCCCCATGGAAAGTTATAGAAGGGTTTGTCTGTGTCATTGTCTGATCCTCTGGTCTGTGAATAATAACAATAACTTATATTGAGTTTACCACATGTCAGGTCCTGTGCTAAGTGTTTTTATTTTTTCATTTGATCCTTAAAGCCAAACTTGTGAGGTAGATACTATTATTATTGTCATTTTACAGATGAAGAAACAGAGGTTCATGGTAATTAAGTACTTTGCCCCAAATACCACAGCGGGTTAATTGGGGCAGGATTCAGGCCTGATCAATCTTTCTCCAGGCCGTTTGCTTTTTTAACCACCATGTTATTCTGATAAATACTGTGCTCTGGTTTATACCCTCTGAAATTGAAATTGTGCTAGAAGTTTCTTATCTTCACTAGATCTTTGGCAAAGAGTTCTGTGCTGTTTGTATTTTTGAGTGGAGCAAGGTCTTCCCCATCTTCCAGCTAATCAAAGGTTAATTATTACAGGCAACCTGCCAGTTAATGAGTCCACAGCAGGTATAAACTCTTTGCTTCTCTGTTTCACGGCCTTGGGCTCAAATGGGCCCCAATGCCCTGAGACCATCTCAGCAAACATTTGCCAAACACTTGTTATGAGCAAGGCTATGCTTAGGCAGTGGAGATGCCAGGATGGTCCATAAAACACAGTCCCAGAGTTCATAGAGCTACAGTCTAGTTCTCTACTCCTTGTGCTCTTCAGTTTACATTGTAGAGTTGGACTGGTATCCTGATGCCCCTGGAGAAGTAGTGGTGCTCACCTGTAACACTCAAGAAGAAGACGGCATCACCTGGACTTCTGACCAGAGCAGCGAGGGTTTAGGCTCTGGCAAAACCCTGACCATCCAAGTCAAAGAGTTTGGAGATGCTGGCCAATACACCTGTCAGAAAGGAGGCGAGATTCTGGGCCATTCACTCTTGCTGCTTCACAAAAAGGAAGACGGGATTTGGTCCACTGATATTTTAAAGGACCAGAAAGGTAATTCCATCCCCTTGAATAATGTCAATGTTCTCTTTTGCTCCACAAGTGATACAAAAATAAAAATTAAAGAAAGGCAAGACCCAGTTCATGTAGTTAATGAGTTAACATCAAGTCCCTTACTGAAACCACTCAGAATCTCCATTTTCTTTTGCTTTGCTAGACAGCTTTGGGTTATCAACCATCAAAATCTCATGTTGGGAGAGATATGTGTTCAGTCTGGATGTTTTCCCTGAGATTCTCTTTAAATAACAGTAATATTATTGACTGACTAACAGAAATTAACCAATGTACGAGATGCATTACATCAACACTGAGGTGATAACCTTGAGAAAAAATTAAGAATACCTCCCTGAGTGTGTTGGGTGTATATTATACCCTACAGAATCAGCATCCTATTGGCACTCCCAAACCTAGCTAAAATGCCTGTCAGCGGAGCAGCCTCGTTTTCCAAGGAAATGAATGGAAGATATTCACACTTGTGCCACTGAGTGGCCTGTAATTAATCACAATCAAAATCTTTCTGAAAGAAAACCTCTTAACATTGAATTTTTATTCTTCTTCAAATCCAGAACCCAAAAATAAGACCTTTCTAAAATGCGAGGCAAAGAATTATTCTGGACATTTCACCTGCTGGTGGCTGACAGCAATCAGTACTGATCTGAAATTCAGTGTCAAAAGCAGCAGAGGGTAAGTGAAACCCATGTGGCTTCTCAACGTTTTGCTAGAACTATTTCATTAAGAAAATAAGGGTGACCTATCAGTGACCAAATGCAGAATCTTTTGAGTCCCCTCTCTTGCCCTAAATTGAGGAAAGAACATGGAGATTTAAGCCAATTGCGTGAACAAATGTACGTGTTAGGACAGGATATTCTCAAGGTCTGAGAATAGCCTCACTGTGTTTGAAGCCACTCTCATCCAAATTGCCTGGAAATGCTTCATTAAAGTTCATAGCACCATGGGGAGGGATAAAAGGAGAAATAGAAGCTACAAATGACTTGCCAAAATTGCACCTTGAGTCAAAAATACAAACAAGAGTTCTAGGGCATAGATCCTGGAAGCTCTAAAGCCAACCCCAAAATTCTGTGATCCCACCAGAAATTTTCCCATGGCCACCTCAATTCCTTTTTCTTCTGCTAATGCCACGCATTGGAAGCTAAGAGAGCTGAGGAGTTCACTGTTTGTCCAACACATTTGGACTTTCCCTAAGAAACCAATTTCCATGGATAGAGAACCTCTGTTTTTGCCCGTCTATGTGACTCCCTTTAATCACTATCTCAGTTTCTGAAACAATGTAGGTTAATGGAGCAAAGTCTAGGTGATCATCCTGGCTTTGCCACCATTTCGCTGGGTAATTTAACCTTTGTGGTGGTGTTATTAGCTGCCATCTGTGTCAGCCCCCAACTCATGGCAACCCCATGTGTTACAGAGTAGAATTGCTCCATAGAGTTTTCGTGGCTGTAATCTTTACAGAAGCAGATCACCAGGCCTTCCTTCTGCAGAGCCACTGGGTGGGTTCAAACCACCAACCTTTAGGTTAGCAGCCAATCGCAAACCACTTACGCTACTGGGGCTCCCTAAATTAAGCTTGGAGTCTCATTTTCCCATCTTTAAAATGATAACACCAAAGAAATGGTTATACAAGTACACAAAGACATAGGTGCAAGTGTTTGTGGCATTTTGGGTAATCAGCAGGGGAATGATTAAATAAAGTGTGGTACCTTATACTCTGAGCAGTCATTAAAATGAATAACCCAATCTGTATGTTTTGATGTGGAGAGCTCCCCATAATATGCTCAGAGGGGGAAAAGTGGTTACAAAACAATATATATAATTTGAACCCACTTCATAAAAAATAAGCCCTATGTATATATATAGAAAGAGATATAGATAAATAAAATATATAAAATATATGTGTATATTTCAATGAATATTCATTGAAAAAGTTCTAGAAGGCTACAGCAAGCTATGAATAGCATTTCTATCTGAAGACTGAGATTAGGGATAAAAGGGTAGATGAAGGAGGTACATACACATTTACCTTTATATGCATCTTTATCATTTTTTTTTATAATTAGCATGCATAGATTTTTTAATTAAAATAAGAAAAATGAATTCAAAATTTTAGTAAAGGGATTTAATCAAGGGCTCTAGATCTAAAAATGTCCAGATTCATTTAGGCCAGCGGTATATATTTGCAGAGTTGTTTCCAAACATTTGTACCACTCCCTTAAGCTAAGTTTGTTCTCGTGGGAAGGGCAGTTTATTACCCCTGGGGAGAAATCAAACCAGTTGGAGAAGTTGTGTCCTCAAAGAGCTGTCTTACCTGCCTCACTGGCTGCAATCACTGGGAAGTCACCTGCAAATGGGTAACCAGTATCCAGTTGTCATCCAGTTGACACCAACTCATGGCGACCCCATGTGTCTCAGAGTAGAACTGTGCTCCATAGGGTTTTTCAATGACTGATTTTTCAGAAGTAGATCACCAGGACTTTCTTTCAAGGCTCCTCTGAGTGGTCTTGAACCGCCAACCTTTCAGTTAGCAGCTGAGCACGTTAACCATTATCATCCAGGGACTCCACCACAAATGGGTAATACAGGATGATTTCTGTGACTTCAGCTCCTCTAACCCCCAAGGGGTGACGTGTGGGGCAGCAACACTCTCTGAAGAGAAGGTCAAAGTGGACCACAGGGAGTATAAGAAGTACATGGTGGAGTGTCAGGAGGACAGCGCCTGCCCAGCCGCTGAGGAGAGCCAACCGATTGAGATCGTGGTGGAAGCTGTTCACAAGCTCAAGTACGAAAACTACACCAGCAGCTTCTTCATCAGAGACATCAGTGAGTTATGGACAATTATATGCACTTAATAAGGATCAATGCTATTTGTCACACGTTCACCATGCCCCATGCACTGGGGTAAGGGGCTTACCTGCCTTACCTCTTTAATTCTGCTACAAAAAAAAAGTAGGTACAATGGAGATACTATTATCTGCATTTTAAAAAGGAGGAAATTGAGTCTTAGAAAGATTAGCAACTTGCCCCAGGTCTCACAGCTAGCAATTCAGACCCAGATCTGTCCACTAGAAAGGGTAGGCTCTTTGCTACACATCTATTCTGCTGCCCAGGTTGTTTCCCTGATGAATCCAAGAGCCCTTCAAGCAGAATATTTATCCTGAGAATCAAGGCTTCCTTACTAATTGGAATTATTCCCAGCCAGTCTCTCTCTAGCATTTGAATATAAACTATTTTAGATTGGACATCTATTTTTTAATTGGCAGGTATAGATTTTGCCATTTATCTTTCCCTTTACCATTTACTCATTTAACAAGCATTATGAAATAAAGCACGATAGAGCCACATAACTTGCTCTAGTATTTGTGGAGTGTTTGCACTTGATGGGCTGGGGAGGGTGGGATCTAGTTCTCATAGTGTGGCCAGGAAGGAGGTGAGATTTAAATGAGACCTAAAGAAAAGAAGTTATGCTAAGAATAGAGAGAAGAATTTTGCAAAGTACCTACTAGGTGCCATGGTCTTTGTGTGGAGTGGTATTGGGTCTGGTGAGTCCAACCACCTTCTGTAGAATGTCTCCCACTCTAGAAAAGGTAAGACTACTTTGGACAGAGTCTTTGTGATACTCAGCTGCTGTATCCTCTATGCATTCTCTCGTGGCTGGCACATAAATGGGTTCTCGGTAATTTTTTATTGAGTAAGTGAGTGAAGGAATGAGCATAGAGGCAATTAACTACAAATGCTGCGAGACAAGTCAGTGCAGACACTAGGAACAGACAAAAAAAGGGCAATAAGTGGAAAGTCTCCTACCTCATCCTGGGTGAGAGGCTCAGCTCTGTTCCATGTTTGGTACAAAAAGAGGGCTTGACCACAGAGAGGATGGTCCTTGATGGCATTGCCCAGATGTGAGATTGCTGTCTCTGAGAATCTTCTTCTGAGCACCAAGCAGAGGTGGTTCCAGTGCCAGGGACCATCCGATTGAGGGACGTGGACACCAGAATGCAAGGATGAAGGATTCTGAGCCTCTCTCTTGGGTTTGGTAAAGGGTGTAATGATTGATGAGGGCTGCCTTCCATGGATGGCATGAGGACCAGCAGCCCAGGTATCTCATGTTTGCCAACCCAGTTTATTTCATTTACCCAGAGCTAGTTATGGTCCAGGTAGTTCAGTGGCTAGACACCATAGGTACCATGGCCCTACATTGTTCCTAGTGCCACCAGAAGGTGAGAAGGATGCCCTCACTGCCTGACAGATGGCGGGAGGTGTGACACCAGCCGTGCAGATAAGGAGAGCATGAACAAGGGAGTGTGGCTGGCTGGGGGAGGAGGGGCATTGCTTTCTAGGCCCAAGTTTCAAAGATTAAAAGTGAAGCCCTGAGGATCCTTAATTTCCTAAAGTTTTAGAAAGAAGAGTTGCATGTATTGACCTCATGTAAGGACTTTACATAGTAAATCTCATTTTATCCTTACAATCACTTATGGGGCGGAAACCACCATGAATCCAATTTTCCAGATGAAAACAGTGCTCAGAAAAGTAACTCTCCTATGGACCCACAGCTGGTAAAAGGTGAAAGTGGACTCAGAAGCCAGAACCACCTTACTCCAAAGCCCCGTTAGGAAAGTAGCGTTTATCTGTTTCCACAGTCAAACCTGACCCACCTAAGAACCTGCAGCTGAAGGCATTAGCGAATTCTCGGCATGTGGAGGTCAGCTGGGAGTACCCTGACACCTGGAGCACCCCACATTCCTACTTCTCCCTGACGTTCTGCATCCAGGTACAGGGCAAGAACAAGAGAGAAAAGGTAAGACATGATTCATGCGCGATATATTCTGTGGTCAGGTTTACGCAGGCCCCCATCAGAGAGAAGATGAATGATGAAAATAACCACCAACTTTTCTTAGCACTTTCTATGGGCCTGGAGCAGTGCGAAGGGTTTTACCTGGGTTATCTCACTTAATCCTCATAATATCCCTACAAAGGCAGGCAATATGATTATCACCACTTCATGAGTAAAGACATTGAAGCTCAGAGAGATTAAGTGACTTATCCAAAGTCACTCAGCTAGGAAGTGACAGAGCCAGGACACAAACTCAGTTGGCCAGACACAAAGGCCTGCCCCCCAACCACTCTACTGCCTCCAGGATAGTTGATCATTAATCCTTGCACTCAGAATTGGTCCTCAGTGAGTATAACTGATGACAGAACATTCATGCTGTGTCTCAACTAAAATGGGTAACTCTCAGCTGTTCAAGAGATGGTTAACTTATTGTCTTAAACAGAACATTGGCACTTACACAGGCTAACACAGTGGCTTTCAAACTTTCTTCCCTTAGCATGAGAACTTCTTTACCTCTTACAAAGTCCCCAAGGCACTTTTACAGAGCCCTAGGGCTCCTTGGACCACATTTCTAGAATCACTGCATATAGGCCTTATGCAGCATAGCGTTTAGCATGTGGTAGAAACTTAGTGATACAGTTGTTGTTGTTGTTAGCTGCTGTCAAGGTAGCCCCCAACTCATGGTGACCCCATGCACGATAAGATCAGACTGTTGTGATCCATAAGGTTTTAATTGGCTGAGTTTCAGAAGTAGATACCAGGCCTTTCTTCCTAGTCCATTTTAGTCTGGAACCTCTGATGAAACCTGTTCAGTATCATATCAACACACCAGGCTCCACTGACAGAGGGGTGGTGGCTGCGCATGAGGTGCATTGCCCAGGAATCAAACCCAGATCTCCTGCATGGAAGGCGAGAATTCTCCCATGAAACCATCACTGCCCTCTAGTGGTTCAGTTACTTCCTGAGATTTTTGGCAGGTTGGGGGTTTTACCTAAACATTATTTAAAAATCTTGATAAGTACCTTCCCAACTTAAAGCACATACCATTAATAGGTAATATTTACTGGGCGCTTTTTACATGGTAAAGACTTTGCTAAGAGTTTCACATGAATGTTACCTTTCATTTGTACAACTCTTTGAGGTGGTCATTATTATTCTTCCCATTTTATAAATAAGGAATGTGAGACACAAAGAGCCTAAAACATTTTTCTGAAGTCACACAGCTAATAAGTAGAGATGTCAGGATTTGAACTCAGGTTTGTCTGATGACAGGATCAGGGTATGGTATTTCTGAATATCCAAGAAACAGCAAGAGCAAATCTATCTTAGTCCCAACATCAGCCTAGTACTGGGGTGGGTATGCATGGGGTCTTCGGGCAAGGCAGCTGTGTTAAAAGATGAAAACTGGTCCAAACGATTTCTCTCTTAACCAGTAACAAGTTGCTATTGAGTCAACCCCAACTCATGGTGACCCTATGTGTGTCAAAGTAGACCTGTGCTCCATAGGGTTTTCAGTGCTGATTTTTCAGAAGTAGATCACCAGGCCTTTCTTCCGAGGCCCCTCTGGGTAGACCTGAACCTTCAACCTTTGAGTTAGCAGCCAGACACATTAACCGTTTGCACCACCCAGGTACAAAATAGAAAACAGAAAAGCAGAATCTGTATTTAGAGTTTCTGCCAGTAGGTGGCATAAGTTCTACACCCTTCCCTGTGCATTACAAATGTGGTGTCCTAAGACCAGGGTGTGATTGTTTGGGGAGGTTGTGCTTTGCAGAAATATGCCCAGCCTGCCTTGTGACAGTGTTGCCACAGGGCATTCACAAATTGCACTGTCTTTTGCAGAAAGAGAGACCCTGCATGGACAAGACCTCAGCCAAGGTTATCTGCCATAAGGACACCAAGATCCGGGTGCAAGCCCGGGACCGCTACTATAGCTCCTTCTGGAGCGAATGGGCATCTGTATCCTGCAGTTAGGTGAGCAGGCCCTCGAAGCCCAGCCCAGACCTGCACGCTCATAGTACCCGGGTTCAGGGCAATGGTGGGGGATGCTGCAGCACAGCAGTGGGCCAGTGGGGCACCCTGTACACAGTCGCCAGAGTGAGAAACATACATTTGTTTATTAACAGGCTTTATTTGGTGCCCATATTGTGTCAGGCACAGGGATACGGCAGCAAAGAAAACAGCCATGGGTCCTTCCCCCTAGTTGTTAGATGCCATTGAGTCCATTTTGAGTCACAGCAAGTCCATGTGACACAGTAGAACTGCCCCATAGGATTTTCTTGGCTGTAATCTTTATGGAAGTAGATTGCCAGGTCTTTCTCCCGCAGAGCCACGGGGTGGGTTCAAACCGCCAGCCTTTTGGTTAACAGCCAAGTGCTTTACTTTTTGTGCCACCAGGGCTTCTAAAGGGGAATGCAAAAGCAGAAGAGAGAAGTGGGCAGGGCTCAGAGAATGGAGGGCCTGCAAGCTGGTTACAGGAGTTAGTTCCTTGTCCTGGGGGCGTTGGGGGGGCCACTGAAGGGCTTTAAGCAAGAAAATGACACAATCAGATATTCTTTTAAGAAAACTCTCAAGAGAGCCTCTGGCAAGCATGGTATCAGCCCAAATTCTAGTCCCCAGAAGGAAGGGCTGGATGCTTCTGACATGGAATCCCCCAAAACCAACTTCCCAGGAAAAAGTTTTGTGTGAAATAAGAAGGGTTTGGTGCTACAAATCTCATCCCTATTTTGCTATTCTTTTTTAGATTCCAATTCCAGAAGGACTCCTTAGAGGACAAGTGAAAACCATCAGACAGAATTTTTTCAAAGATATGATGGAATAGACAAAAAAAATTGTTACCTGATTTGCTTTTTTTGAGGATTATAATGATGCCTTTGCTGTATTTTTATATTTAAATGCTAAGTGCCCACTGAAACAATCAGCTAATTTATTTATAGATTTCCCAGCTCTCAGGTTTCCACTGCCCTTCATGCTATTGTAAATATTTAAATAATTTATGTATTTATTAATTTATTGCCATTATTTAACATCTGTGTGCCAAGGTGCATCGTATGTTTCTCGGGACCTGCTCCAGGAGGCATGGACCCTCTTGTGCAAAATGTGAATTTAAGTGTTATTTATACTGACACCTTTTCCAGTGAGGCTGCGAGTGCATCAGTTTTACAGCAGCCAGTGAGAACACCGCGTTCTGATGCAAGCACAGACATGTACTTGTGATGGATGGGAACATAAGAGATATTGAAATATAGACATCAAAACACAAACCTGTTTGAGGGGGGCCTGGAGAAGCAGATGTTCGTCCCGTATCCATGAAGACCTCCCGCCCTCTTCAATTTATGTAAATAAAGCAACGGAGGGCCACCTGCACTTCTGAAAAATGACTGAAATTGAAACCAAGCTTCAGCCTCCCTGGCAGTGCCCACCCCCACCTATCCGTAAGGCACAGGAAGGTGACACAGAGACACCTGAGAAAGTCGGAAGATCTCACGATTCGAGAGGGAGGTCAGGTGTAGTCGTGGCTGAGGACATAAACTTGTCAATTGCAGGTTGCTTCTTAAAGGCCACACAAAAAAGTCAACAGAGATACGCAGAAAACGATTTAAAAACCCTCTTACTCGTCAGCCTGAGGGAACCTGATGTGCGGATTGTGACCAGACAGGATCAGCCGAGGAAGGTGCTACTTTTAAGTCAGGAGTGTGCTTTCTGAAAAGCGACTGTATGTGGTTTCTATGTATTTATTTATTTTGACATTCCAAAGCTGAACTAATAAAAATATAACTCTTCTTTGCAATAATATTGTGGGCTTTCTCAGCGGACTCGGGGATCCTGTTCCAAAGTTTACAAAAAGCCAAACCAAACCCGTTGCCTTTGAGTCTATTCCGACTCATAGCGATCTTATAGGACAGCCTAGAACTGCCCCGTAGGGTTTCCAATGAGCGGTTGGTGGATTTGAACGGATGACCTTTTGGTCAGCAGCTGAGCTCTTAACCACTGCGCCAGAATTGCCCCTCTTTGAAGAGATTTCCTCCCTAGTTTCACAGTTGTTCTTTCCCTTTATAGTATTTCCAAAGTCAGTGTCCTACTGAGCTCAGGGAATGTCCCTGTAATCTGAGTGGGGGAACTCTTTCCAAGGGCACTGAACTGCAGCATGCCCTCTCCAGGGTTTGAATGCTCTTGCTTCTTTCACTTTCTATCCTGGAATCAACTCTACCAGTTTCCCCAAACCAAAACCAACCCCATTGCTGTAGAGTCAATTCCAACTCATGATGACCCTATGTGTTACAGAGTAGAACTGCTCCATAGGTTTTCTTGGCTATAATCTTCACAGAAGCAGATCATCGGGATTTTCTAAAGAGGTGCCACTGGGTGGATTTGAACCACCAAGCTTTAGGTTATCGCCTTCCCCAGCATTGTGAAATAATACTCCAACCTGGTAGAACCATGGGCATCCCCTCTGATAGGTCCAGCTCTGGTATTTTATTGAGGGTTTGCGGACCTTGGGGTTGGGGAGTTCTAATAAACCTTGTGGTGCCTCCCATAAATAGTGCCTACTCCTGATAAACCTTTTAAGACAAGGATGAAAACTTAACTTCACAACAATAAATGCTAACATGCTCAGTATATAAGTATATTTGGTGCTCTGGGGTGGGTGAGAAGAAGTTTAGTGTAACCGAAGTCACCCAGGAAGGCTCGATAGAGAAGGGGAGGCGGGCAGTTTAAGTTTAAAGAACGGGCAGGGTCTGCCAGTTCCTCACTGAAAGAACAAGTGGTGGGGTCAGAGAGAATGGAGCCAGGAGTTTGGCATTAGAGAACCTGGTTCTGCCCCTTACAGCTGGCATGATCCTGGGGCAGGGAACACTCAATTTCCAAAGACACTGGGTGGGGCTGCTGGAGGGGAACAAGTGAGAAAATGAACTTGAAGGCCCTCTGAAATCTGCAAGAGCTGCACTGCATAAGGGTCTGTCCCTTACCTCCCATGTTAAAGAAGTGAGGAAACTACAGGCAAATGCAGTCGTAGAAGCCCCTAACCACCCTATGAAGAAGGAGTTCTCATTGTCTTAGTTACCTAGTGCTGCTATAACAGAAATGTCACAAGTGGATGGCTTCAACAAACAGAAGTTTATTCTCTGATACTCTAGTTGACTAGAAGTCCAAAATCAGGGTGTCAGTCACAGGCGAAGGCTTTCTCTCTCTGTTGGCTCTGGAGGAAGGTCCTTGTCATCAGTCTTCCCCTGGACTAGGAGCTTCTCAGCACAGGGACCCCGGGTCCAAAGGACATGCTCTTCTCCCAGATTTTGTTTCTTGATGATATGAGCTCCCTGCACTAGATAACTGAGGATTTGGTACCAGGAGTGGGGTCTAGGGGACCTGGCCAGGATTAGGGCTGGGGATGGGGCTGGGCTTGGGGTCTGGGCTGGCGACCTTCAGGGCCTTGTCCAAGTTGAAGATCAGCTGCCTCCATATCTGCTCGCTGTAGACGTGGTCAAAGGTTTCACTCTGCGCCACCGTGAAGTAGTCCTTCCAGTCACCTCAGACACCTGATGCAGCTCCTCGTAGGTGATAGACAGGAAGTTCTCTTTGCCTTGCATCTGAATCCAGCCCTTAATGTGGTCAAACCAGGAGCCAAATTGCAGTTCCCATTGAGGAAGTCCTGCAGGAACTGTTCAGGCTTGCGGGGGTCCTTCAACTGCCTGACGATCTTGGAGTAATGACAGAGGGAGACCACCACATCCCAGGGAGTTCCAGCCCAGGTAGATCAACAGGCAAAGAAGGGAGTTACTATACTGGCTGGTGGGATTGATCCTGGTTACCAAGAAGAAATCGGATTGATAGTACATAATGGATGTAAAGAAGAGTATATCTGTGATGCAGGAGATCCTTTAGGGCGTCTCTTAGTACTACCATGCCCTGTGATTAAAGTCAATGGAAAATTACAGCATCCCAATTCTGACATGACTACTAATGGCCCTTCAGTAATGAAGGTTTGGGTCATCCCACCAAGCAAAGATCCACGACCAACTGAGGTGCTTGCTGAGGGCAAAGGGAATATGGAATGGGTGGTGGAAGAAGGTAGTTCTAAATACCAGTTACAACCATATGATCAGTTGCAAAAAAGAGGACTGTAATTGTTATGAGTATTTCTGCTTTGTATGTGTGCATCAAATATTTTTGTTTTCTTGACTTATAAAATATAATATATAAACAGGGCTAGTGCATTTTCAGTTGTATGTGTGTTCATTGTATCATGTTAGGCGCAAGTATGACTTTCTAATTGTCTTTATTCAGAGATTGTGTATGGATTAAGGAGATGTGTACAGGTGACAAGTTGACAAGGGGTGGACTGTGATGGTTAAGGTTGTGTGTCAACTTGGCTGGGCCATGATTCTCAGTGGTTTGGCAGCTGTGATGCAGTTGGGCAGTCGTATGATGATGTGATCACTTCCATGATGAGATCTGATATAATGTGATCACCTCCATGATGGGATCTGCTGTGAGTAGCCAATCAGTTGAAGGGGAGTTTCCTTGGGTGTGTAGCCTGCATTGGATATAAGTGGATATTCTGGCAAGGCTTGTGGGCTTTTTCTCACCCTGGATCCTGCAGCTGACTCCTGTTCATCTGACCTCTGGTTCTTGGAACTTGAGCTAGCAGCCTACCTGCAGTCTTGCCTACCGATCTGGGGATTCGTCTATCTTCTTCACAGCCTGTGAGCAAAAGCCCTGCTGT